ACTAGTGACGAAAGAAAGCACATATTCTTATATTTTCAATTCAACATAAACATAAATCTTTATACATGGTAAATATTCATTTGCGTCGGTATTAATTATTGCGTGACTAGCCCATTATATAAATAGGGGAGGGGGAAAACACAACGCAAAACCTGGGCTCTTGTCAAAAAATGAATTCCCGGGCGTAATAGAATAATCGAAACGGCTAATAAAATCATAAATAAACAAGGTAAGAGTGTTATGTTAGATTTTGTTGCAAATTGAAGCGATTTATGCCAGTTAACGGTGGCGACAAGTAGACGCACCATGTTTATTTCATGGTCGCTATCAAGTAAATTTTGCCGGACTTTGAGTTCGTCTTAAGATAGAACAACACATATACACAAGGAAATTTTACAGTAACTTTATAACCATCCTTTGGTCTTTTAAAAGATTGAAGCTCAGTAGATTTTGTTATATCGGTCATTGTTACTTCACATAGTTACTTGTTGTATTCATCCTCACATCCATCACACGTCAAGAACTCCATACCTTTTTCACAGTTTCTCAGACTTCATCGTTTATGTAGTGACGACTCTTATTTTTCCGAAAAATCAGAGGCAATGTGCCAGTTTTTCGATAAACGTGGCTATCCTGTTTCTGTCGTTCAAGCGGGCTACCACCGTGCCCAACAAATCTATCGACAGGCAGCACTACAAACGGCCGAGAAGGAAAGCACTGACCGCATTCCATTTACTCTTACATTTCACCCTCACAACCACGCAGTTAAATCTATCATTCTTAAAAATTTTAAATTACTCCAAAACGATTCAGAGACTGGCACTATCTTTCGCAACCCCCACTTATTTCATTCAAACGTGACAAAAACATAGGCAACTTTTTAGTCAGGAGTTCATTTCAAACCAATGACTAATTTGGAACTTTTAAATGCGCTCGTGCACGATGCAAACTTGTCCTTTCATTCATAACGTAGAGAAAATATCGGGACCCAAAAGATCCATTAAGATCATTGATCACTTTACGTGTACCTCTGCCAATGTTATTTACTGCATAACTTGCACTTATTGCAATAAGTTATACATCGGCGAAACAGGAAGACGACTGGGTGACCGATTCCGAGAACACCTTCGCGATGTGGAAAGAAATGACAAGGACGCATCCAAACCAGTCGCTAGACACTTTAATCTTCCTAATCATTCTAAACAGCATATGGCAGTTTGCGGCCTTTCCTTACATCTAGGCAGTTCGGAAAGCCGTAAAACACTAGAACAAAAATTTATATTCCAAATCGGCACCCTTAATCCCCACGGAATCAACGAGCGCTTTTCATTCAACTAATTTATTCCTGTTTTCTCGTCACCATATTCCCACCAATGGCGTAGCTCCACTTTCTGCATATATATCCACACACAACCCACAATTCCTCTAATCGCTCTGACGAAGGGCTAACGCTCGAAACGTCAGCTTTTTTACCCTTTACGGTGGCTAATTTACGTTTTCAACCCAGTTGTTAACACTAAATTACCTGCTATACTCTCCCACCGACGCAGCACCACAGTTTCTTTAGAAACTTACCCCTTTATTCATTGTTAAAACTGTCTTTGTTTTGATGCTACTTTTCGACATCGAAATTATTTCTCGAAAACTAAAATAAATTTTTACAAAAAAACTACTCCACAGTTATTAGAACATATTGGACTACAAAATATGAAAGTAGGAGTGAAAACAAATTTGGGTGACTTGCCGCTGTTTGTTTGACGCATGCTGACATTAGCTCTTACGAAGTTTTGAAGTATATTAATGATAAACAACTGTGTTTCTCCCAGTACTATTTCACGGTGTATACGGTACCTCAAAAAGTTGTCATGAGCTGCAGAAAGTGTCCGAAATGGCTTTCGGGAATTTAAAGGAAATAACTCGATCATAATTGCGAACGGCGTAGAATAAAAGTTTGTCAATTTAAATATTCTGCTGGTTAACTCATAACAAAAATGTTACTCTCTTGATTAACGACTCCCTAAGTCCTGTTCGTTGCGTGGCGTGCACAAACGACAACATCTTCTGCGTTTCCAGTCGGTTGTCTTATATGGAAGATTTTACGCTAGTAACTTACGGCGTAATTTCTTTCAGTCGGTTGTCTCATATGTACGATTTTACGCCAGTAACTAATGGAGTAATTTCCTCCAGTCGGTTGTCTTATATGGAAGATTTTACGCCGGTAACTAACGGCGTTATTTCTTCCAGTCGGTTGTGTTTATATGTACGATTTTACGCCAGTAACTAACGGCGTAATTTCTTCCAGTCGGTATATTATATACTGTAAGATTTTACGCCAGTAACTAACGGCGTAATTTCTTCCAGTCGGTATACTATATACTGTAAGATTTTACGCCAGTAACTAAAGGCGTAATTTCTTCCAGTCGGTATATTATATACTGTAAGATTTTACGCCAGTAACTAACGGCGTAATTTTTACCAGTCGGTGATATATATATGTAAGATTTTACGCCAGTAACTAACGGCGTAATTTCTTCCAGTCGGTAAATTATATACTGTTCGATTTTACGCCGTTAGTTAATGGCTTAAAATCTTACATATATATACACCGACGCACATAGTGGCGTAAAATCTCACAGTCTATAGACTGTGTTAGTCACATATTACGCCGTTATCTAACTACCGCAACTTGCGAATGTGTCGAATGAGAACATTGTCACCGATATCGATCACGCACGCGTATGAAGCTAGTCACGCGAATAAAAAATAACTTCTAACAAGCAGTTTTCAACTCCACTTTCTTGTTTATCAACCATGCATTCTTTTCTTAGGGCTAATAAATATAATCAAGGTCTGGTACAGCTGATCTATTCCCTGTGGGTATGCACGAGAGTACCCCTACTCCAGGGGCCGGAAACCGAAGTCAAGCGGATTATAAATGAAATAATAACGCAATCCAGACGCGCAAACTCAGTCAGTACATAGCAAGAAGTGCGGGAAAGTCCATTTGAATACATTTCTTAGAGAGTAATTTTCCTCAAATCTTGATATTAGCTTCGTCGTATATCTTCGAAACATGTCATCTGAAAACATCTTTAAGACTCTTGGTTTTGTTCCCGATGTAAATCAACTGAGAAGCTACGGCACGAACACGAAGTGGGAACAACAACTAGCTTTGTTATGTATTACAGCTACAGTGTTGACGAATGGTAAATGTGGGGCGCCTCAGATGAACTCTGGCTACGAAAGGGAATGTTAAGTG